AACTTCACTCAACACTCCAGCCCAGATTGGTGTCATCTGCAAACTTACTGAGGGTGCCCTTGATCCCCTCGTCCAGATCACTGATAAAGATATTAAACAGAACTGTCCCCAATACTGAGCCCTGGGGAACACCACTTGTGACCGGCTGCCAACTGGATTTAACTCTGTAACAACGCTTTGGGCCTGGCCATCCAGTCAGTTTTTAACACGGCAGAGAGTACACCCGTCAAGGCCACGAGCAGTCAGTTTCTCCAGGAGAATGCTGTGGGAAATGGTGTCAAAGGCTTTACTGAAGTCCATGTAAACAACATTCACAACCTTTCCCTCTGAAGTTCACAAGGTTTTAAGAAAGCACTAAAAGGCCAAGTTATAAAAGAATGTCAAAAGTAGAGGGGGGAAAAAAAAAATAATTGTTAAAAGTAGATTCTTGCAAGTGTTTTGCATGTCAGGGTAACTTGGAATTGGGCCCAAATTTGAACAAGGAACCTGATGTATTGAAGGATCAGACTGTACGTATGAAAGCAAGCAAAAGTCTCTAAGTCATTCTGAAACCTGCACAGCTGGAACTTCAGCAACAAGAGAAAGAATTTTTATTTCTTATGTTTTTATAAGGAAGCATATCTGGGTTTGTTACCCAAATAAACCTTTTGGGGAACAAAATAAATTACAGAAAAGCATCATTTTAATGTAATGGCATTTAAAGGTCTTTTTAGTGCTCTCAATTGCATTTTTCTATCTCATATTTAAGGTAACTCATTTATCTATGTTGCCTTCATCTGAGAAGCAGCCAGATGTTGACATAGATGGAGAATTCTTTAGAAAGCAAAAATGCTATAGGTAACTAATTAACTTACTTATAAATAGTCAAGGCACCATTATAAAGATTATGCCTTGATTGAACACTATTAATTGTACCCCTTATGCACTACAGTCAAAAGTTAAATAGCAGCCTACATAAATACCACGTAGCAGCAAAAGCATCAAATTCAGCTACAATTCACAAGCACTTAAAATAAGCTTATTGCAGCTGAAAAAAGTTCTGTGTTCCCTAGAACTGAGTAAAAAAAATTTGCATTTTCCCCAGAACAAACAATGCACAGCTGATGGTTCTATATCACTTTTTCTGTAAATTTAGTGTAACCCTGAAAGCAAAACCCACAAGCACCCTCACACCTCAAAATTACTTCAGAACTACAATAAAGTGGTAGTTAAATTGTATGAGGAATTTTCTCCTATTTATTCTTACTTTTGTGGCACCATTTCTTATTCTGCTCACAGAATTACAAAGAACATATTGTCTCCTCTGCGTAGGCTTTGCATAGGCTTCTCATACTTAAATGCTTGCAATGATACCGATTAATTGCCAGATTTCAGCCACCTCTCTAACCTCTCCCTTTCAGTGGGTGTGAAAGGGTTTACTTGTAATATATATTGCTACTGACTGAATTTTTTCTTGTTCTCCTGGATTCTCAGCAGCAATTCCCAAGTTAGAGGCTTCCCCAGAACGCACGTCAAAGGATTCCCACCCACACACTGAATATCTAACAAGCCCTGACCCATTTTCTCCTTATTAAAGCAGCACTACATGTTATAAAAAATAAAAATAATAAACAGAGAAGCTAAATGAATGCAAGAATTGCAGTTGGAACTTCACCCTCTTCAGATTTTAGATCTGACAAAATCACTACCAAGAAGCAAAGAGATATAGTTAAAATACAAACATCAAATGTATTTTCCCTCAGTGTTCTCAGTCAGTGACTTTTTACCCCAGATGTCTTTTGGCTAAGTGCAAGTAGTACTTCACTTATTAGTTCTGAATATAGAAAAACACCCTAGTGGAGCCATACCTATCTCCTCTCCCAACCATATCTTTCGACATATTTCTGCAACTTAAGTTTTAGTAATCTTAAAGATTTAAGACTTAAGATACAGGATGCTTAAGAAATGAAGCCTCATAGCGAGTAACAGTACTACGTGATTTTACTGGAATTATTTATGTTACCTAACCAGAATAAGCAATAGCAATTAACCCTGAGTATTTAGAATTGAAGTTTTTTATGGTAGGACTGCAAATACTACTGCAGGACTCAAGATCTGTTATGTAGTTGATACGCTCTAAGTTATTAACATGCTCAGTTAAACAGGTACAGTATTCTGTTTTAAGTAGAAATAAACCAGCAAAAGACATTTCAGTTGATGTATGACTGAATTTGCCCAAATTTGCATTCACCATTTCAGCCATAGTGGGAATTAGATTCTATTGGTCATGGTTGCGTAACAGCCTTTTCCCACCCTTGTGCTGTCACCTCTAAAGGAAATGAAGTTCTTCAGCAAGGCAAATAACCTGTTCCCAAAACAGCAATGTTAAACAAAAGAGGGGAAAAAAACCTAGAACAGAAAAACAGTGGTGAAGTTTTATACGTTTGTGCTGCAGGTCTTCAGTCAGTTACCCCTATGGCTTTGCTTCTTCCAAAAGGGACATCTCTCTCAGCTTCCAACTACATGCTGCCAATGCCATTTTTAAGATAACACAACTATTTCTGTGGCTCCCTGGTGAACCAGGGAACTGGTTTACCTGAGAGTAGACCTGACCCAATAAAGATGTCAACTGGAGTTCCCTGAGCTTTTGATGCCAACACAGATTTGAATTAGGCCGGTAAAATTATGGCAAAAGGTTTATTTCTAATGCAGTGCAGAAAATAGACAATAAAACCTCATAATATTAGATCAACTATCTTTTAGCGAATTCTGAAAGAAAAAAATCCATTTACAAAAGGCCCCATATCTCACAAGTAAATAATTTATACTTGCAATTGATCTGTAAACAAACCTTAGCTTTACCTCTTATCTATAACAGGTAAATATCTATAATTATATATAATTATGTAGCTCTTCCTTTGTCCTTTTAATTTAACAATGCTTATGCAACTGTTCCCAGGGAAAGCAGATTAACAATGAGCACGTACACTATATATGAACATTTTCTTAACCTTGATTTTCAACATAAACTATTATGAAAAAAGATATATTTACCTTCTGAAAAAGAACCCACCTGTTCTTTCTAATAGGAAAGTTGGGAGATAAGGGAAGAGAGCAAAACAAGTAAGACTACTGCTCTGTATCTTAAAATATACGTTCAAGTGGCACTCAGTCATCTTTTGGTGATTAAGACTCTTCATTAACACTAAGTTATTTCAGAATCCACTTCATTCTAATGATAACTTGCATCTGTAAAGGTGGACAATGCCACGTCTGGAGTCCATGTAACCAAGTTTGTATGATTTTACAAACAAAAATAGGAACCAGGAGACCTTCTTTGTTTATAAAGCCATAGGAAGTTACATCAACTGCAATACTATATTGATTAAAGTTCATCTTTTCATAGACATAAGCAAGTAGAGAATTAACAATGTCAATCATTGGCAGAACAACATCTAACACTTGTAAGATCTCCTCACCCATGTGGAAAATAAAACGTCCTTCACACCCAGGTTTGCTAGGATACTTTACAGATGAACAAAGATTGAGTCAGAGGACTGTTCATCATTGTATCATGTTGCATGAATGTTTCTGAACATTTTTATTAGATAATATTAGCTTTAATTTGGACTTTTTTTTTTTTTTGTCCAATGACATGAAGAACAGAAGACATTACCGCTCCCATGACATCTGGTGGAAAGTGTTTGCAGGCTCAGTTTAAAAAGAAATGGACTGCCCTTGACAATATTCTCCACATTATTCTGTCAAAAAAAGCATTCTCTGGAGAAATAACAGTTGAGAGAGGAATTCCACAAATATTTAAGTATACGCTGCATGTTGCTTCAGCCCACAAAGAAGGGAAAATTTAGAGAGATACATTTAAGTGGTCTTACAGAGTAGGATGACTGGAACTAAGCTATGCTGTCTTGTCACACGCTTGCATTCTTCCCACTGGGTCTCTGACAATGGCACTTGAAGAAAGGAATGCACAGTTTAGCCTTTTCTTTTAGAAAAGGTGAGGAATACCTTCCGCATTGCTTGAACAGTGCTGCTGCCTTAGAACTCCTTTTTATGTGGGGAAACATGATTGAACAGCCAACTGTTTCTTTATCTACCTCTTCCAGTTGTTTTATTGGAAAGGATTGCTTTTCCCATGTAAAAGTCTTTTGAAATAAATAATGTTTTCAACCTACAGTAGGTGTCCTCTGCTTCCTATTTTCCCTAAATTTCCAAAGTATTAATTATTTAGCATTATTTAATTTTTTATCTACATATTTTTACTTCTTGGTCAAATTTAAACAATAGCACTTTCTGAAAAGCTCTCATTCAACTCCATTTATTGCACACTCCTGTATGAATGTACTAATGCTCTGACTGGGCTGTTTCTTGAGTAAAGGAACAAGAACTTTGTATAACAAGAAACCTTAGCATTTTCATTTACCATTTTTTCTGTTTAGCAAATTCAACACTATTTAAAAAGAAAATTGAAGTATGAGCTTTACATAGATAGAACAGCTTATTAAATTGTTTAGTAGTTTCTGAAGTCAGTGGCAAAATATTTATCAAAAGTAATACTGAATTACAATTATTTTTTGTTTTTTAAAAATGACAGTATACATAAGCCATAAATTAATTCATTATGTGTATTAATTTCATTCTTTTTTGTGAAATATTTACCACAAACTCTATGTTTTTATAAAACTCGGCCATTAGAGCTCATGAATCTTCTTCAAATAAATTTTTAAATATAAAATCGGCTACTTGATGCACAGTTAAAATTAACAGAGTACAGAAGATGCGTTTACCTCCAAAAAAACCTCAGAAGAACTTACATGCAAATACTCATAAATAAATTGAATTGGATCTCTCATTTAATGGGGTACATAAAGCATATAATACTACTCTACAATAAGCCTTTTAAAAGTTTATATAAAAACTATAAAAGTATATAAAATTGTCTATGTAATACAACAGTAACAACCTTAGCTTGACCATATTTAAGACAGGAGAAGACAACTTACGGGTACGATTCGGAAAGCTGCTGAGCTATTTTATAAGCTGTGGGGTCCCTGTCTAGTGCATATATCGTAATGTCGCTGGCTTTCTCTAGAAGAGCTGTAGTATGACCTCCGGCTCCAAACGTCAGATCAAGGAAACGCTGTTGAGTAAAAAAGACAACACCTTTACCTTAGAACAGTAACAAACCAACTGTTAATTTAAAAACTTCTTTTGTTGATCTCATATGCTGGAGGAAAACATACCGTTCAACATAGTCATAATGCCTTTTTTTAATTAATTGAATATTTAAATAGAATATTTATTTATTCTGCCTATTTTAAGCAGAATTACAGTCATGTCAGAGTAATCTTTTTAAGGGCTGCAACCCACCACCACCACCACTCCCAGCAATCCTTTCAGAACAAAAGGGCAATCATTTGGTACAGCCAACTGCAGATTCATACTCTTCCCATTTCCTTACATTCTGAGTTCAGAGGAATGCCACTTGCTTGATTGCTTTGTTTGGACTTGCTCATTCAATGGATACAAAAGGACATGGGACTATGAGAAGTACTCAGCACCAGCTGCTTTGTAAGAACATGGCTTCAAGGAAGGCTGACATATTGTGTATCAATTTAAAAAATGACACTATCATAGTTTCATACCACAGATCAAAGTGTGATGGCAGCAGAGGCACATATCTATATCTATATCTATATCTATATCTATATCTATATCTATATCTATATCTATATCTATATCTATATCTATATCTATATCTATATCTATACACACACATACCTCCATCCTGACTGGAACTAACCTAACTAGCACAGAAAATAGAAGTTTTCAAGACACAGTACCACTGATTTTGGTTCACTGTGCAACGACAAAGCTCTGTATTTAGGTTATCAAGATACAACAGGATTGGGCTTCAGTCTATCTTCTCTATCGTCATTAAATGTGCTAATTAGATGTAGGATAGCACAGGATCACCCACCTTAACAGCAATCCCATTTCAATCACTGGTGCTCTATGGGCTTGAGTTACACCTTTTGATAATATCTATTACCTTGCTCCCAAGGAATACTTATTGCCCATGAATACACACCATGTCTGTTTTTTTGGGTAAGACTAGAAGTTTTTAGTAATACCAGGTAGATAGAGTCATACTCTCCAGACTTTGGACTAAAACTCATGACACATTCAAGTAGCTTTGAAAGCACTCTAAAACATACACAGGTACAAATTCAACACAAGTTGGGTAAAACTGGGCATGGAAATTCCTATAGCAACTCTCTTGAAACCTAAAGTTCTTGAAAATAAATAGAATTTTCACATGCTCACCATCAAAAACTTCACAAAAAAAAAAACCAACAAACCCAAAAAAGGTTTTCTATGTCATACTTGAGGAGGGTGATAGGGTCATCAAATTTTGCACAGAGATAAGATGACTACTTCAAAAGACTGATTAACTCCCAGCCACACCACAGACAAGAACATCTGGAGCAAATGGTTTGCCTGCAAATATGGGAGACTGAGCATCTGGTGTGCAGCAGGTCCTGACAAGAGAAAGCAAGGAAGCAGCAGAAGGGCAGCTGAGATAAGGCTCTGGAAACATGAACACTGCTCTCCTGATGAAACTGCAGTCTCATTCTAGAGAGGTTTCTGTAGTCAGGCTCCATTTGATCAACAGGCTGTCTAGGAGGCTTTGCTCCTGAGACTTTCCCAAGAAACAGTGACTTGGGACACAGTCAGTCACCTTGAACCAAGGCAGGTTGGGCTGCATGATTCCACTAATGGGAGAAACACAAGAAAATTAGGTAGAAATTAATGTTGGTTTAAGTCTTCATTTATCTGTAAAACAGCAGTACTGTTTCTAGAAGCTACACCATCTGCATTCCTCCTTTGGCCTGACAACACTGGTACTTAACTGCTTAGAAGTCAAGAACTATTTTGTTGACAGAAATAACTAGCTCTTCACTTAGCAAAGCAGAGGTTGTATGACTGCAACCAAACTTAGGAAATAGTTCCTTTTCAAATTACTAAGAAAGTATCAATTCTACACCGTACAGAAAATATACTGGAGCTTAGAAAGAGACAGATTTTTAGTGTTTTCTGATGGTTTATTTAAACCAAAGCAGAAATGCAACTGAACAGCATCTTCTCTAGTTTCTGCATCTCTGAATTCCCATAACTCTTTCCTCTCACTTGATTTAACTGACCTCTGTTGACTTGAGGGGAAAAAACAGACTTCATGCAAGCTAAAGTAGAAGAACAAATTCTCTGTAACTGCCTGGGTTTTTTACACTTCCCAAATTATTTTTTATGTGAAACAGTTTCTGAAGACTACTTATCAAGTTCGATTATATTAATTAGAAATTAATGTTAACTAAACTTATTGACAAAAATTATATACTCCAAAGTTAAGTACCTTTTACTTAACTACGAGAATTTTTTTTACTTATCTCTTGAAAGATTCAACAACAAAATCCCTTTGGATAAAAACAGAAATTCAAAGACAACGAAGGAATTATCAAACATTTTCCCAGAAAAAAGTTTTTAGAAAATATAAATAAATGCTTTTTAATGGAAATCCATAATAATCAAACTGAATATTCATGAGACTAATAATACAACAATATTGTAGCTAGAAGTGAAAATTATGATCTTTCAAGATCTTTAAGTAGTCATGATTGAATTTCTTTGTGTTATACCATCATGCTTCCTAAGCCTATGCTCTAGAAGCAGAACTTTCCCATAATATTTTACAAAGTTTATGAAGGAAAAATTCTGGTTGGCTCATCATCCAGTATTACATTGCACCATCCATTCAGAGAACCTCTCTTATGATATGGGGTATGGGGGCTTTTTTGCACTCTCTATTTACTTAATATAATCCTTGTAAAAATCTGGTATGGGCTATTGAGTGGGGTATTAAACTAATGAGCAAAATCTGTATTATAGTAATATAAAAGCATAAATGGCATTTAACTTACAAAATTGCAAAAATTAACATGAACTCCAGAAAATACACAAATCCTCTTAAAATACTCTTAAAAATTCCAAGTAATATTTGATATTGATTTCCACTCCAGTTATTTCCATGTAATCCTTACTAGAAATAATATACATAAGCAATAAGCAGACCTCTCGCTTTTATCTTCCATCTCTGTAGAAAAATCCCTTTAGAAAAATGTGAAGGATCAATAGAAAATTAAAAGCACCTTTTTATTTCTTGCATAGGATTGACCCACTCAAAAAACTTGGTCACAACAGTATCAAGTGCTATTTAGGATTGAAGTTATTTTGTAGCAACACAAATGAAAGCCAATCTAAATTACAGCATAATTCCTCACAGAAAAAATAGATTTAATCAACATGAGTAATATCTTCTGGGCTGGGTTTGGTTGTTTTGTTAAAAAAAAAAAACAAAACAAAACAAACAAAGAAATGCTCTTATTTGACATCATAGCTAGAAAACTACCACTAAAATTTTTGAAAATCTCAACATTGCCTGTCCTGAAACAGACTTACAGCATTGGCAAGAAAAGTCAAGGAAGGTATAGAACGTACTAGAATCAGCTCCTGATATCTTCCAAAAAGAAGGTATCTTCTTTTTGGAAGGTATCAGCAGTTTGGAATCAGGAAGTTTATTCCACTTAAACTCATTAGTAATGTTAAAATTCCAGAAAACAGTCTTTCTTCACCAATACATTTAGCAATTCACTTATTTATTGCACATGTTAATTTTCTAAACAACTAATTCTTTGGTGATCTCTAGGAAGTATTACACAGATTTGATCCTTTGTGCCTTTCTCTCACCAATGCTTCTGTTCTACAGAGAAGATCTTTCATCAAGCTTGAACAGCAGAAAATGAAAAGATGAGTTAGGGACCTTTTCAGCCAAGCATACATCCAGACAATTTTCCTAGTTAAGTAATACTTAGTACTGCCCTTTTTTTTTTCCCCCCGAACAATTTTTCGAGGATCTTGTCACTCATTCAAGGATACTTAGTATTTGTTATTTTGCTTAGCAGCCTCACCTTTCCTCACACACATCTGCCTCTGTTTACAGTAATTTTAAATTTGATTAAGCTCGATAAACCTCTTATACATGTGGAACATTAACGAATAATACAGATGATCTTATAAATAAACCAAAAATTAATACCAGCAAAGGAAAAAAGACGAGAACGGATAAGGATCACTGTACCATGACACAGTGAGAGCATCTAAAAGCTTTAGTTAAGAATTCATGCAAGCATTCACTGTGAATAAACACAAGCTCACCAAATTGTATTGCCCTTTCTGAAAGAACCAACACAAACCAACCAAACCTTTAAGCAACAGCAGACAACTGTAACATGATCTTTAAATTGGGAGCACTACACAAAAGAAGATACAGCTCTGATTCAACCAGAAGTGACTGCACGACTGAACACACAGTGCTGGACAAAATACTGCATCACCAGTGTTAACAGAATAGGCTAAAGTATTTCTGGCATCCTAGCAAACCTAATTAAGGCTACATTAAGTACATTTTAGCATAACTTTTTAAAGACAAGACCTTCCATGAATAATCTTTGAACTGCACGGATACATATGCCTAAACCAGCAAGCAAGAACTCATACAGACCTAACTGTTCCACTCAAAAGCAACACTTCGCACCTAGAACCAAAAAAAAGTAAATATCACCTTAAGTTAATAATAATAATAATAATTTCATTTGTTAACACAACCATTTTGGAGCACTGATCAGACTTAACATTAATTACTATACTATAGTGCTTCATAAAATGCTTTTACTATATTCCATTCTTCATTCATTCCTGAAATAAAAGAAATATACTTCTTTTTTTTTTCTTCCTCTTTCTCTCTTCCCTATTAGGTTTTAATCAAATAAAATTAAATGACATTTTATCCTCCTGGTCCTATAAATACCAGAAAAGATTATTACATGAATTCCTCCTGCAGTGACTCACCATTCCATTGTTAAGTTATGATAGCCCCATCAGAGTTCCCCTCGGGATTTTTATAATCAGTTTGTGACTGTATGTTTTAGAAACCATTTGGCTCTTCCATGACACTCAGATAGCAACAAACAAAAACTTTATAGCCTTCATTTTACAACTAGCTCTGAGATAGAGATACAAGGA